GCCCAGCCTCTGACCTCAGAACCTGCACAGTCCCCGTAACCCTCTGACTGATGCTCAGTGCCTGGGTCAGGGGGAAGGGGAGAGAGTCCTGTGGAATCCTAGGGTGGGCCAGCAGGGGTCCCTGTACCCCACCCTCTCAGCTCCCAGAGCAAAGCTTCTCAGGCAGAAGAGGACAGGCAGGCATTTGGAGTACCCCCAGCCTGGACCAGGGCTCCTGCCAGGAGCTTGAAAATGACCTTGTGAGCCAGGCCTGTTGCCATGGGAACGCCGTCCTCTTACCACAGGTTGTGCAATGCCCTGTACAACCTCATGTGGGAGCGAGCAGGGCCTGGGGACGGGCCCAGAGACCACATCACCCAGAAAAGAAGGCTCTCCCCCACCCTGGTTTCACAATGGGACACTAATAGTAACATAAGAAGTTAATTCAATCCCTTTAAGGAGCAAAAACACAATGTTTAACTGGCTAACAAACTTTTTTTTTTTTCCTTTTTAACATTTTCCCCTCCACTTTGAGGCTGTGCCATGGGCAAACTTTGAAGTTTAGGAAAGTTTAGACTTGTTTGAGTCATGTGCAAAAATGCCTTTGAGTGAAAAGGGGGAAAAAACCCATACTACTCCTTCCTCCACCTGAGATTTTGGGATCCAAGAGGTTGACACATAAGAAAGGGGTTTTGGGGGCCAGGCTAAGGTGTGTCCCCAGCCCTTGAACTCACTGCTCTGTGGGAATTCTCAGGGGGAAGCGTCCATGACCTCAGGCCAGGCAGAGCCTTAGGCAGTCCCTTGAGACCCCAGGAGGAGAAAACCCTAGGCTGTCACGAGCCACAGTGTGGTCACCGTGGGTTAAAAGTCCTCAGAGAAGATGAGCCTACACTTGCCCTCGGCCACCCCTGTTTCAGTGCCTCCAAGTCATGAGGCTCCTCTCTCGCGCTCCTCACTCAATGAGGTTGCCAGAGGAGGAAACAGATCAAAATGCCACTCCCTGTGGGAACAGAGGACCCACAAATGCAGGAGGATTATAAGCCTGAGAACCCACCACCCCAGGGATTCGAGGCTGCAGTGGGGTCGCAGCTGTAGCCAGCATGCCCTGAGAGGTTCATGGTCAAACCCAGTTTACTAGGCCTAGAGGGCCCTCCCGGCCCCCTAGTCTGAGCTGAAGACAAGCTTCTCACCAAGGCTATATTGTAGTCCATAGCTTCGGCATTCTTAAAGCACAACAGGTCTCTTCCCCACACAAGTTTACTCCTGCCTCTACTTCCCTCAGGCAGCCTGCAGAGAACTGGGTGGCCACGAAGATGGGGCTGTATGGTTTGGACGGAAAGGACTGGGCTGGATGCTGAGATACCTAGGATTGGGTCCCGCCGTGCCCCTCAGATCATGTTAATCTGAATAAATTACTTTCCTCATCAGGGACTCAGGCTACTAGACAGTGTGACATGCCTCTAGACCCCTCTGCCTGCCAGTCCAGACAGCTACAGGAATCTGAGTGGCTGATGGAGGAAGAGGCTCCAGGTCACTGTGGAAGGCTCTTGCCTGGGGTGAGAATGCTCCTGCAGCCACACTCAGAGCTGCCTGCGAATCCAGGCTCCTGGCCTCCAGCTGGGCCCACCTGCTAGACACACACACACACACACACACACACACACACACACTTACACACTAGGTGCACCAACTCCACTGACCTATGGACCAGCAGAGGCTCCAAACCCAGTCCTCCATGGACTGCGATGTTCTGAACAAGACTTGGGTTCCCCTTCCAAAACACTGGACCCACAGACCTTTGTCACTGGGATTTTGCTGAGTGGATGAGGAAATTCACCTCTGATCTCCCAGAAAGGGGGATACTTGGAAAGAGTCTTGGGCAGCCTCTTTCCTCAGAGGCCCATGCTTATAATGCTGAGGTACTGAGCT